TTTTGGTATTGAAGATGGGCCAAGTATGTCCACGTTTTGGTATAGCCCCCATACAACGGTACGCCCCGATATTCGGTATTTTGATGATTTCAGCGACATTATTCACCGGAAAAATTTGGTATTTGAAGTTCGTAATGGATACTACAGCCTAAGAAAGAAAATTGTCTGTGCAGGTCCACGTTTTGGTATAGCTCTGATATAAAAGTACCTCCCTATATTTTGATGATGTATATCCACGTCGTCGTATAGACCCTAATATAACGGCTATATTCAGTATTTTTAAGATTTTAACAGAATTTTTAACGGATTTTATTTTTTTGAAAATTGCCAAAATCGTTCCAAATAGTGGAGGGTATTCAAAGTTCGGCCCGGCCGAACCTACAGCTTGTTTACTTGTTAGTACTCAAAATTCACAATTTGTTCAGTTTGACAAACTACGTACTAAATTTTCAGACTTTCAAGGCTTTATATATTTCAAGAGTCTCCTTTGCCGGAAAGAATAATAGGAAATTTTTACGTTTTACACCAAAAAAACCTTCGATATCTTTTATTTTGAAGTTTCCACAGTAAGATATTAATAAAACTCTTGCACAATGGTTCCGCATCCAATTTTTCTGGCCAAAACTATTTCAACGTCTTTTCATAATAAAAATTGGCCACCACCATATCTAAATCCTAGAAACCAATAGTGACCTCAATATCAAATTTTAGGATTCAAGCTCTATTCATTCACTCAATGTCAAATATAGTACCACTTAATACTTTTCGAACAGTCATAGTACACATGTCCAAAATCACCACCATATCTTTACCACAGACGCCAACAGTGACATCCATATCATTCATATACCATCAGTAATCAAAATCAGAATTTTATCTGTATTCCTTCAATCAATACCAAATATAGTGCCGATTGGTACTATATAAAATTTCAGGATGTCAGCTCTTTTCCTTCACTTAATACCAAATTTAGTACTTTTCGTACAATTATAGTACACATTTCCAAAACCAGTTCCATATCTCAATTCTATATGCGAATTGAGACCTCAATATCAATTTCGAGAATTCCAACTTTATCCCTTCACTCAAAAACAAATTTAGTACCATTTAGTACTTTTTGTACAAATATATTTTCGCATTTCCAAACCATAGCCAAATCCCAAACACATTAATTATTTAAATATAAAATTTAAAGATTTCAGCTTTATTTCTTCACCCAATACAAAATTTAGTACCACTTAGTACTCTTCGTACAAATATAGTGCACAATTTTGAAGCTACCACCATATGTCCAGGCTACACATGTACAGCGACCCTAATGCCAAATTTCAGATTGACGTAATACAGCTAAATCTATAAAGAGTTTTACGTTGATAAGAATGGAGATTTTCTGTGGAGTATTAAATCTTTATTCCGATCTGTTACAAATAGTATCATGAATTGGAACTTAAATACAGATGAAGATCTTTGTTTCCCCACAAATATAAAATAATATTAAAAAGCAAATAAATAAATAAATAATAATAAATTAAAACCCAAGTGCATTTGAAATCGAAATCATCCTTCGGTCGGTATATGTTGTTGCAACTGTCATTTGAATACCACCTGTGAGAGATTATATTGTCATTATTGTTGTTTGTCGTCTTTCCCGATGACACACACACACACACAGACAGAAATCAGTATTTGCTTAAGATTCTGTTTTTGAATTCTATTTTCATTATTTTTTGCGGTCATTTGGGAGTAGTTAACCTTAACTGCTTAACAACAATGCAAACAACAACAGCGGTAGCGTTAATTTTACTTGGCGAGCTGGCAACAAACATTGTCGTCATTGTTGTCATACATCATTTTTTTAATTGTTTCGTGTGTAACATTCGACTTTTCGTCTGTCCGACGCGCTTTACATGATGTGTTCGGATAAAAACAAAAATACAATATCTGATTGTAGTTAAGGAAGAATTTACATTTATAGACAAATTATAATTTGCAATATGGCGGGTAAAAATGCACATACATATCTTGGCGGAAAAATGTACATACATATCTTCTTATAAAGAATTAAAAAAAAGAGGGACCCAAGCTTTTCACCCACATTGTCCCGATTCTAACCAGTTAATTAAAACTATGTTTCCAATAAAAACAAGTAAAAGAGTATCAGTCGGTTTTGCCGACAGATTAATTTGACCCTTTATGGGGGAGGTTCCGAAGCAGTGGGCCAATATTGACCAATTCGTATCTGACCTAACACTAACAATATAAATATAAAAACGTGCCATATTTGGACTATATCGTCTACTTCCTATACTTTTAATGAGATATGTGCAATTTTTGAAAAATGTGGAAATATGCGTGAGGTAGCAGATATAGCGGACCGAATTATTCCACTTGATCTAATACAGATTTGAAGGAAATTAAAAATTTGTATCCAATTTCGATTAATTACATATTCATATCAGATTTCTGGCTAAGGGAAATATTTATATATAGCAAGTTGTATAGAATCGACGACTTGTTTCGCAATTATGACAGATATAAGTATTGGAAATTGTGACCCTTTATGGTTCAGGTACCAGAACAGTTTGGCAGATATCTATCATTTTTACAAACGGATCTTGTGTTTGCAAAAATGTTTGGATATGTGAAATTTGAAGAGAGTTGGATGCTTATTTCGCTTTTTATTGAGCGTTTTGTTTTTCAAAATCTTGAATCATATGTGGGGGAGTTACCAGAAGAAGTTGTCCGATCTCTGCTATCTTTGTAGCGGATCTTGTGGTGATGGATATATTAAGATGTGCCAAGTCGGAATGGAATCGGATGTTAATTTCGTGTTTTATGAGCTTCATGGATATTCAAAATTTTAACCCTTTGTCGGGAAGGTACCGCAAGGAGTGGACAACAGATCTTGTGTTAGCAAAAATATTTGTGTGTGTGTGTGTGAAATATGAAGAGAACCGCATGCTCATTTCGGATTTTATGATCATTTTGGTTATTCAAAATTTTGACCCATTTTGCCCCTTTGTGGGGGAGTTACTTGATGGAATGGACCGATATTGCCCATCTCCGAACTCGACCTAAGTTTGATAATAATATTACGATGTACCAAGTTTTGACCAAATCGGATACTCCCTTCGAGACTTATCGTGCGCAGTAGCCAGCCAGACAGACGGAGGGACGGATACCGTTAGATCGACTCCAAATGTCCTGAAACTGATTTGGTCCAAAGAGACCTAGGGTCTAAAACCGTTATTTCGATGAGGCACGTTTTGGCCGTATAAAATGATATATACCCTCTCTAGCCATATGGCTGAGGGTATAAAAATTGAAGAGAGGGGAACTTTTCCCCGCCCACTATTTTTACATGCCTTCTATTTTTATAACCTCAATGGAGGGTACATTAACTTTGTAATTCCGTTTGGAATTTACAACAAATGTTTATATTATATGCAGGCTGATTGGTATTGAAAATGGGTACTATAGGTCCACGTTTAGGTGTAGTCCTCAGTATTTGGAAGATTTCTGCCACAATTTCAACAAAATTAGCTGAAACTTTACATTTGGGGTTCTTGATAGGTTTGTTCTCTCCCTCGCAACAGGTATACTAACTTGTATAGGCTCCATTTAATAGTACCTTCCGATGTTCGATTTTTTAAGTTTTCTGCCACAATTTTCAACTAAATTAGATGAAACTTGACAATTGGGGTTTTCGGTAGGTCTATTCTTTCCATGTAGAAATTTTTCGATTCGTACCCGATAAGGCAATATTCAAATTTTAAAAAAGGTCGATTAGAATAGAATTTTGAAACCACATTTTTGGATTTTTCAAACTTCTATTTATTATTTGTCAAATTATATTGAAATCGGTTGAGATTTGGGAATAGCTCCCATATATATATTCTCGGCCGAATTCACATATTTGATGCAGGAAACACGGTATGTACCTCCAATTTCAATGAAATATGGAAGGTGTGACGGACTTTGGTGTAAAAGTAAATTTTGTCAAATTATGTTGAAATCGGTTCAGATTGGGATATAATTTTATTAAGAAGCAATGACCCACAACGTCTTTGCAATGGTATTACACTAACAGTTAAAAACTACACAACAATTTAATTGAGGATACGATTATTACGGGGAAGTATTTTGCTACCTCGAATTCTCCAATCGCAATAGATAAGATTTCTATGAATTTAATAAATCCTGTATGCGGACTAAATTTGACTAAAAATTTTGAATGCATGTAACATAAGAAGTTGTAGAGAGGCGCACCGGGTGCTTATAAAGTTGGAATATATCGATCCAATATTTTAGTATGTCTCCCAAAAATTGTATATACCAACAAGTGGTCAAATGCTAAGTTTTATATCCGTTGGAACACCGACTAAAACATTTTGTATCTTGTTTTTAGAAATTTAAGGACACCCAAAAATTTGTAATATTTTGGGAGATCTACAAGAACTGCCTTGGTGGCTTATTACAGGCCAAAAATAAGTTTAGAACAATTTTGAGTATTTTCAAATGTTCTTACCACCCCAACGATTTGACTGGACATTAGTTCCACTTTAACCAACTCAATTTAATCTCGTGAACTGAAAATACACTTGCTTCTAAAAAATATAAATTCTTATCGAGGTAGTCATTTTTCCCCTTTACCATGATCCCGCAGAGATAAACACAATTTTGTTAATATTTTTTTTTTTTAATTTTTTTTGAAGGTTTTCGTTTTTTTTATTTTATATAACTTATTTTTTAATGTTTTGTGTGGCCTGGGGTAAAAGGTTATTAAACTAAAAATAAACAAAAAATAATAATATATTTAATCATAATAATAACAATACTTTGTTTTTACTTGTCCTATACAATTATTATTACAATAGACAATACATTTTGTTGCTGTTGGTTGTTGTTTTTGTTTGTATCCACATGTTTTTTTTTCTCTTTTTCTTCTATAACATTACACATCACATTCAATTCTTTTTTAAAACAAAAATATTTTCTTAAAAAAAAAAAAACAAATGGATTTAACATAAAAAATATTTGGTTTATAATTCTCATAATATTGATCAATTCTCTTGATTTTACTCCTTTTTTGTTTTGTTTTTCTTTTTTTTTTTGTATAAGCAAATGAGCAATAATTTGTATATGCTCTCTTAATTAATTTGTTTATGGGTAGATTTTTTGGTTTCTATAGCGCGGAGAGAGGAAACATTTTGTCTTATTTTGGGTTATTATGGCTTCTCTCCTGTAATATCTCATAAGAGAGAACTTCTCTTTTTATTAATAATTAATAAATTATATATATTTTTTGGAATATTTTTTTTCTTTTTATAAAATTTAACAAAAAATCTCATTTTTGTTTAAAAATTTAAAACAATTCTTATTTCTCATTTAAACGTGTTGTGTCTAATTATTCAGAGTGAGGGAGGAGAGATTAATACCTCCCACTCTCTCTTGCTCTTTTTTTTCATAATAATTTCGATTTGCTGCGTTTCTTTTTTCGCTTTGTTTATCTTTGTATTTTGGAACATTTGTTGCATTTCTATGTTGTTTTTAACTACTTGAAGTTGTATGGTTTGTTTTTTTATTGATTTTTTTTTAATATATATTCATGTGCCTTTTTAAGGAGTTGTTTTCCTTTGTTTTCAAGTTGGGATTCTTTAATATATATTTTCTTCTCAATTGTTTTTGCATTTTTTTGCTTTGTTTCTCTTAAAATTTGTTGTAAGCTTATTTTCAAAGTTTAGCTAAAAAATATAAAATTTATAGTTTTTTTGTTTTGTTTGTTTTTTTTTTCTCGTAAATAGAAAAATTAATAGAATAACTAAAATATAAAATATATAATAACAAAGAAGATTTTCATTTTCGTAACATAGCTTCTTCTTCTTCCTCTATACATCATCATCATCATCTCTAATTCCATTGTCTGCATGGAGACTCCTAAACTTAATTAAGCTCTCAATTTTCACAATCTTTGGAAATATTCTTTATTTTTCACTTTTCGCTTCAGTTTTTGTTGTTGTTTTGTTGACTATTCTAAAAAAGAAAACCTGAATCAGTTTTACATGCTCTTCAGCCCTCTTCTTCTGCTTGTTCTTCGGACTCTCTTCTTCGTCATCTAAATAAAATCTTATAATTTCGATTCAGCAGCTTTGTTGGGGAATTGGGGTGACGCTTCATCTCCGACCGGCTGGGGACTGGCCAAAGTTTTGACAATTTTTGGTACAATTGTTATGGGCTGATCCTCATCATCTTCGGCATCTTCACCCTGTTCCTCGTCGATGGGCGTCAGGGCCTCCACATGCACGGGTGATTCTTCCGCCTTGGAACATCTCTTCAGGCATGGTGCCAAAAAGCTCGTAACCGTCGATATGGCAAACAGACCACCAGCCATGTAGAATGGCAGGTCATAGCTCTGGGTGGCATCGTACACAGCACCGGCCAGGGGCGAGCCAATGATGGCAGCAAAACCTCTAAACAGAATCAACAAACCAAAGGCATTGGTGAGCTTGTCCAGACCAAGCAGATCCACCAAGATAATTGACGTCAGTGAGATATATCCCGATACGGCTAGGCCAAAGAATACCGACATTGTTACATACGATCCGTATGAGGCACATAAGGGTGTCAGGACCACAGCCACGGTACACACCAGCAGACACACGTTGTTGAGGAACAATGAATTGACGGAGGGAAAATCGGCCACATAGCCGCACACAATACGTCCAAAGGTGTTGGTTATGCCAATAATCGAGATAAGGAAGGAGGCGGAGTCGGCATCGATGCCTGCCGCCTTGGTGGCATCCACCAGATAGACAAAGGGCACATACAGACCAGCCATACCGAAGATATTCGACAGGCCAATCATCATGAAGACCGGATCCTTGAGTAGACTGACATCCAACATATTGTTGATGACCGATTTCACCGAATCCGGTATGGCCAAGCAGGGACACAGGTCATATTGTTCGCGGTGACGTTCGGCCTCGGCCAAAGGATCCAAACGGTTAACACTTTGCATGCTCTTTTCGTATTTGGTTAGGGACAACACGGACTGGCGATAATTGGTTAGGGATTTTTGGGATTGATACTGGGGTAGATTAGTCACTGAGCCGGAATAGAAAATATCTTTGCGAGACATGGGGCGCACCATTTTACCGCCACCGCTTTGCTGAGACAGGGACATCTTGGAGGCGGTCATGCCCATCTCCATGCCATTCGGATCCAAATCGGCACGAGAAGAGGCCCGTATGGCCGCCAATGAAGGCTGGAATTTCTCTGAGGCTGAGGTCTTGCGAGACCTTTGAAAGGACGGCACCGAACCATTTTTGGGAAGACCTTGATGTTCCATTAAAAATGCTGGCTGTGAGGCATTGCGTGTCATGTAATCCGACGACTGGTAGGGACTGGTGGTGCTCGATTCCGAAGTGCGGTGTGGACGACGGGGCTTGACATCCAACTGGCCATTGCTGTCCTTGTTGCTGGGAGGACTTTGTTGCTGTCCATTCTGGCCATTTTGCATATCCACCACCTTGGCTTCGGTAATCGTGGGCAATGTGGAGACAGGATGTAAGCTTCCTGAGGCTGCTTGTTGAGCCAACAGTTCCAGGTTGAGAGACGAATGCACACCGGGATCAGCATTGAGGGGCATTTTCATTTTACGTTCCATGGTCCCGTCAGGCAGCTGGACCATAAAGGACCCGGCGAAGGAGCCACGTTCCAACTGCAATTGTTTCTCTTCGTACATGCGTTGCATGAGAGGCTTTACCTTCTTCTTTTTGGGATATTTCAGGGGACGCATCATGGCACCAAAGATGGCACAGTTCAAAATCATGCCGGCAAAGATAAGCAGTGAGTTCTTCCAGCCATACTGACCCAGTAGGTATGTGGCCAGGGGCGCAAAAACAAAGGTACCAAAACCGGAACCGCACACTGCAATGCCCGTGGCCAAGGAGCGCTTGGTCTCAAAGTAGTAGCCCACTGCCACCACGGCCGGCAAATATATCATGCCAAAGCCGAAACCACCAATGACACCATAGGTCAGCATCAGCATATCCACCGATGTACTCAACGTGCTCAGGGCAAAGGCGATGCAGGCAATCACTGAACCGGCAATACACACCGTGCGACAGCCATACTTATTCGCCAGGGCTGAGACTATGGGACCTGCGGCTAAATAAACACCACTCAGCAAACTGCCAACCCATGCCACCTTGGCCTTGCCCTCTCCGAAGTAATCCACGAATTCCGTCAGGAAGATGCCGAACGTGTAGGCAATGCCGTCCACGATCATGTTGCACATGAAGGAGGCGAAGCAAATGACCCAGCCGTAGCCACCGTCCGGCGGTGGCGGTAGTTCGTTGTATTCGCTGTAGTCATCGTCGTCGTCGCCCTCGGGACTGCCAGCAGCTCCCGGTTCTTGTAGGTCAGCGGTTAGATGGGCGGCCTCTTCGACGGCCAGTTCACTGTCGGTGCGGTCGAATTTGCGCAGACGGGCTGAGGAGCCGGTTTGTGGGGGCATTGAATCGGCCATTATAATTTCGGATTTGGGCTCTTTTGAAGCAAGGCAATGGGCAAATGGGTGTGAAGCGGTGTGTGTGGGTTAGTGATTGCTGGAGACGGTTAGAATATGGACGGTGGGAATATTAGTTTGTTGCTGTTGCTGTGGCTCTTGTTTAGAAGGCAGCAGAAGGTGACTGGAAGAATGCTTTTGTTGGGAGAAGGAGCAGTTGTGGGAGGGAGGATGTACATACAAACAAACGACGACGGCAAGATAACCACCGGTAGTCTGTTCCAATTTCAGTGTGGACCACCCATAATGAGTTGTAGAGCGTTCAAGATTTGTTTTGTTTCATAAGGAGTTTTTTTTATTGAAATTAAAATGTTTTTTGTTGTTTCAGGTCACAGGGTTTGAGAATTTCTGTTCTTGTTTAAATTCTTGTAATTTTCCACTTTATTATTGTTGTATTGTATTTTGTTGAAGACTTTGTACCTATATTATAATCTGTATTTGTGCTGCTTTTTATTTGTCTTGTAATTTTCTTTCTTCCTTCCTTTGTTGTTGTTTATTTACTTTTCTTTCTTGCTTCTTCTTGTTTTACACAATTAATTTATATCTATATATATTTTTTTTGATTTGCACTTCTATTTTTGTTTTACTGCTTGGCTTGTGCTTTTTTAATTATTATGATTATTTGGATTTTTTTCTACTGCCGTTCGGATCGTCCGCTCGATTTTTATTCAATTGCTGTCACGACACCGTGTGGATGTTGATTCGTCCACATTTTATTTGAAAATGATTAAAAGGGTTTCTTCGCTAAAACTTCTTTGCTTTGCTGGCTGGCTGGCTGTGGTGTTGTGTGCGGCGGCGACGATTTGCTTGTTCTTCATGTGATTCTGCTGCTGGCGTCGCTAAATTCTGCTGTTCCCTATTGCCACTGACACTCACTCACTCATACACACACACTAAACTCACACACAATACGTAACTTGAATTTTCTTTAATATTTTTATTTCGATTCGATTTTACTATCAATTTTCTTTGCTCGGTTTGTTTTTGTTATTTCTTTTCTTTGCCGTTCTATTCGCTCACATGTTTTGTGTTATCTTTGACATTTGGCTAAATGTGCTCCCCTCAAATAATTCTCACTCCTACTCTCAATTAATCACTCTTGCAGTTATTATTTGATTTTTCTTTGCTGCTTAAATGTTGTGGAGAAGAGATTTCTCTTGCCGCAGCTCTCTTCTTATACTCTTCGTTACAAAATTGTCAGCAGTCGTTCTCCTCTTCTCAGGGTATTACAACAATTCTGTTGGAGAGAAATAAAAAGAGAAACATATTATTAATTTTTATGGAACTGTTATTATTGTTGTCGTCGTCGATGTTGTTGTTATTGCTCTTATTCTTATTAATCATTGAAATTGTTTTGAACTTTGTTTCATTGGAATTATGGAAATTGTAATTTATCGATTATTTGTGTTTTTGTTTTTGCCCATATTTGTTTGCGGTGTTAATCTTAAATAAATTTCTGTGTGTGTGCGTGCATTCATGTATTTGTGCTGATAATGCCCAATATGTACTCAAAACTCCATAACAGTAGTGAGTAAATATTGAATAAGCGTTAAGAACACAAAATATCATGAGGGAGGGGTACAGAGGCCTTTCTTTAATTCGTATATAAAGGCTGTCTGCATTATTGAGGCCGCGATTTCTACGATTCTAAAGATAGATATATCTTTAGGTATAACGGCACTTAGGTGTTGAGCAATTGACCACCCAGTGGTCCGTTGACATGTGAAAATGAGTTTCAAATAAAAAGAAATACGAAATAGTTCCTATGGCAGAGTAGCCGGAAAAACTTGGAAGTGATTCAAACAGACTACCTTCAGACTACCTCATTATATGCGGTATTTTGATGATTTTAGCGACAGTTTTCCACCGGAATTGATTCAAATTTCATATTTGATGTTCGTAATGGATACTACAGCCAATGACAGAAAATGGCATATGCAGGTCCGGGTGTTCCTAAATTCTCCATATAACGGTACCGGGCTATATTCTGTATTTTAGCGACATTATTCAACGAAATATTTTTGAATTGTTTCGGATTTCATATTTGAAATTCGTAATGGTTACTACAGCTTGTGATAGAAAATTTTCTTTGCATGTCCGGGTCTTCGTATAGCCCCCATATATCCCCATATTCGGTATTTTGATGATTTCAGCGAAATTTTCCACCGGAATTGTTTCAAATTTCGTATTTCCTAAGTTTCTAATGGGTACTACAGCCCATGATAGAAAATTGCAAATCCGGGTCCAGGTCTTCGAATTTTTATGAATATAGCAGCAATTTTCGGCGGATTTTTTTTTGTTGAGAATTTGCAAATTTGAACCTTTGAAGATGAAGTACAAGAAGGGCTTCACAGATATATATCATCTTAACAACAGATCTTGTGTTAGCAAAAATGTTCGGATGTGTAAAATTTGAAGCTAGTTGGATGCTTCTTTCGTTTTCTTTGAGAGGTTTTCAAAATCTGAACGGCAGGTACCAGAAGGAGTGCGTCGATGTGCAAACTTTGGATAGAACCGGATGCTTATTTCGAATTTTGTGATCGTTTTGGTTATTAAAAATTTGAATCCTTTTCGGGGGGACGTATCAGAAAGAATGATCCAATCTCTACCATCTTCATAACAGATCTTGTGTTATCGAACATTTTGAGATGTGTGAAATGCAAAGAGAACCTGATGATTATTTCGGATTTTATAATCCTCTTGGTTATTGAAAACTTTGATCCTTTATGTGGGAGGTACCAGAAGGAATGGTTCAATCTCTACCATATTTATAACAGATCTTGTATTGATGGAAATATTGAGATGTGCCAAGTGTGAATGGAATCGGCTGTTAATTTTTATATGAGCTTCGTGAATTTTCAAAATTTTTACACTTTGTTACCGGAAAGAGTGGACCGATATATTCATCTTCACATCACACCTTGGGTTAATAAAAAATATTGCGATATGTGTAATTTGAAGACAATCGGACCTTACATCACAGTTTATAAGAGTTATAATTATTCAAAATTTTGACCCTTTGTGATAATAAAATTGTACCAAGTTTGGACCAAATCGGATACTCCCTTCGAGTGTTATCGTGCGCAGCAGCCAGCCAGACAGACAGACAGACGGACGAACAGATCGACTCCAAATACCCTGAAACGGATTTGGTCCCAAGAGACCTAGGGTCTAGAACCGTTATTTCTATGAAGCACGTTTTGGCCATATCAAATGATATATACCCTCTTTAGTCATAGGACTGAGGGTATAAAGAGTCATCCATTAGTTTTATAGCTTTTGAGGGAAATATGATTTTCGGAAGCCAAGATAAATCGATTAAATGAAAATGAAACAATCTAATGTTATGTCTCCTGCATTGAATAGGTGCTCAACCCCTGTTGCACATGCAAAGGCGATAATAACAATGACAACGTTACTCCTCATCATTGCCCCAAATCGAATGCAATACAACGTACAATTTTATTGGTATTTTATTTATCTCAGTACGTACGTACTTCTATTAAAATTGCATCAAATTTTCATTGAGAGAACGATATCTAGTTTGTTTTGTTTTTTTTTTTGTATTTTTTTTTGCTTCGCATCAAACGATTCAATACGATTTATTTTGTTTTGCTTAAGGCCATCTCTGTTATTGTTGGCTAAATGCATACAACAAACACACTACTGTTGCATTGTAAAATGAGTGGATTTGTTGTTGCCACTGGCCATAGGTGTATGCGATTCTCATGAGTGTGCATGTTTGTTGTGGTCAACATCATGTCTCTCCCCACCAAACAATTGTGTTGTCTTGAGGGGGTGGTGGTTGGATACTGTACGTACTTGCCTACCTACTGTCATCGATGGCAGTACAACGTGACAATTTTGTTTGTTTTAGTAAATCAAGAAAAAACGGTAGTGCTCACTCTCTCCCACACTCTCTGTTTGCTGTTCATAGAAGAGTATATAAACACACGGCACTGTGTAATTGTTTAATTTCCATTAGCCATTCTGTGCGGCAGTCAGTCAAGTCAGCCTGCCAGTCAGCTAGTAACCAATGTTGTTACTATTTCTTTTTTTTTGATTCTTCCATTGTTTTGTTTTGAAAATAAAGTTTATTTTTAATGTTTGCCTGTATGCAAATCAAATGTAAATTGCATTTCAAATGAGAGTGCGAGTGTGAGGGCGAGAGAGCACTAGACAGTTAGTTTACTGCAGGGAGATTAATGGAATAATTGATTTCATTTATATTGAACTCCCCTCTCTCTTTCTCTCGTATACACACCCTGTATTCGAATAATTTGTGTAATTATTTAATTATTATTTAATTATTATTGACATTGTTGTTGTGTTTTTTCTATATTGTCATGCAATAAATTGTTGTTCTATTTATTACACCCACATACTGGCACATTCTTTCTCTCCCCACAGGGCCGCCACAAAAATATGGCTGGCGTAATAAATACCGACATACATATTTGTATGAAAAATCATTTTTATAGGAAATTCAAGATCGCATCAACCCCTTCTCCTCCACTGCTCCGCTTTCCCAAAAATGTAATTATTTGTAAAACAGAAATTATTTAAAAATAATTTTGAAGTGCATTGCCTTAAAAATAAATTTTGAAATGTTGTTACTTGTTGCCATCAAACTTCCAATAAAATGTTAATAATATTTCCAAAAATAACAAAAGCCCACATTTAAATTATCAACTAATTAGAGATACTTTTCAATGATGTGTATTCAGACATATCACCCCATTTTGGGGTATTATCGGCGGGAAGGTTTTATGAAATTTGAAATACTGTGATATCTTAGTAATAGGCATGTAGGAATACATGTTGTTTATTTTAACTGAAACCTTACATTTATATGAAAGGACGAGAGCATAGTGATTCAGAATCGTTTGGCCAAAGGACTGTAGTCTTGAAAAGCTTAGAGATTATCGCTTTTCGTTTTCTAATTTGCCATTTAACATAATAATATTTTCTAAGGTATTTTGCATTTTTGTACTGTTTTGATACATATGCCGATTCGAAATTGATAACGTAAAACAAATTGGGCCTCATATTTCAAAAAAAAAAAAAAGCAGAATCTGTTTTATTTTGGCCTTTGGAAGTTCCATTTCGTTCAAGTTCGAAAGCGAAAAAAATTACCATGTGCCAGGAATAAATTCATTAAAGTACTTCATAAAGCCAACCATCTGAACTACCCAATGGAAACCCGTCAGGGAACCAGGACAAAACAATTAGTTCTGCCCGTTACAATTACACGTTTACATTGGAAATGTGGTTGAAATGGAATGTATGTGAGCTATATCGTAATCGACATAATTTGGCGAGTGCATTTCGAGGCTATATCCGATATCTTGCACCGAATATCGGAGGGTTAAATATAAAATCAAATGACATATATATATGGGAGTGGACAGATTTTCCCAAGATTTCATCAAATTACTACTAGGCCTAAGTCTTTGGTCATATATTACGCATTTGGTGTACAACAAAAATGATATCGGGCAAAGATCGAAATCTAAATCTGAAATGAATACCACTGCAGGATCAAACTTTTAATAACCATGCAGAGAAGAAAACCATGGAAACGCTGTGTCAATATAATTCAATATTTGTGTTCCATTTGTAACTCTTCGAAATAATCGTGTTAGAGCCTTCTTGATTAGGCTGAAATTCTAAATCGGTCTGCCCGTCTGTCAGTTGTAATCACGCTACTTTTCGAACGAGTCGAGATGAATTGTTTATGCACAAATGTGTATTTTGTCGGTTGATAGATAAACTTCGTAAATGTACCAGGTTAGATCATGTTCGTAAAATGCACCTTCCCATATTTTGTATTTTTTTACATTTTCAACGGAATGTTTTAAAATTCGGTTTTACGGGTATATAATGGGTTCAATCTTCTGTGACAGGATATGGCTTAAACAGGTCCATTTTTCTCCTTTATTTTAAGTTTAAGGTTATTTTCCCCTCATTTTCGGTATTTTTAGGGTCCATTATGGGGGTCCATAAAATATGTGACCAACTGTTGGATGGGTGTTTTAAATTATATTTATATTGTCCATATCGGTTTTGTAGATCCGGGTCTTGGAACCGGATTTTCGGGTTAAATGTCCGGTTCTCTATCCCAAGAAAATATATATTTCTCGGAATCTGGGTACTAAAAATTTCCAAAAAACCTAAAAGTCTTTACTTAACTAGAGTTACACCTGGATCCACTATTTCGTGTAGACTGTCCATATGGCGAAATTTCCTCATTTTCGGTATTATGGGGGGTCCACAAAAAATGTGACCACCTGTTGAACAGGCATTTTCATTAGCTTTCAAATGATATTAATATTTTCCCTATCGGTTTTGTAGATCCGGGTCTTGGAACCGAATTTTCGGGTCCGATCCCCAAGAAAAAATACTTTCCCGGAATCAGGGTACAAAAACCTACCTGTGGAAAAAATTTCAAAACAAATTAAACTAAAGTTAAGCCTAGATCCACTATTTCGTGTAGACCGTTCATATGGCGGCACTTTCATGCATTGTCGGTATTTTGATTTCAGCTTTTTACCAGATTTTCAGTTGATTTGGTATTTGGTTCTTGTTTGATGAGAATATGCTCACCTAAGGTCTTTTGAAAATTTGGGCCCGAACCGAATTTGCTATTATTTGAAATCTTTATAGGTGGAATACATTGCCATTAAATATGTCTAATGTAGGTCCTGGTTTTAGAAGGGTATTTTTAAGATCCTATTCACATTTTTGAGCAAAGTGGGCCAGAATGTTTACATTTCCATGTAGAATGTTTGAAAAATGTTACTATTTTGGATGAGACCCAGGCCCCAGGACTCCCAAAGCACTTTCCTGAAATGGGCTGCGACTTTTTTTTCGCATTTAAAGCGAATTAAATTTTTCTATATGTTCCGCCCGTTTTTTTTTCTTTTTGCCACAATTTACAATTTCTGACAATATGTTTCAAATTTTGCCATTAAACAATTAAGTTGAATATTTTCTTGGTAAGAGAAGTCACAAGAAGGTCAAGGTGAATTAACAAATGAACCCGATAGTTTTTTTCAAAGAGAAGCCATTTAGATTAGGGGTGGGGTGGGGAGTGAGACCATTTTAATTAGGCAAAATTTTGAAAGAGGAGTTCTCAATTAAAATTGTTTAGCAAATATCTTGTTTTTTATAATTTTTCTTAGTTCAAACAGTGGCTCATTGTGTCGAAGTAGATTGACGTTTTCTCTAGATTGTTTGGGGGCTGTCATTTGTTTTTTTTTTTGTTTGTCTGTTATTAGCCACGTGTGTGAGTGAGTATAGAATCAATGAATCAATGCTGTTGTTGTTTGGGAGAGTTGCTCGTCTCTCGTCGGTATCCAAAAAATGTGATTTCGAGTGTAAGGCAGGCAGGAAGGAAGGAAAACATGAAAGGAAAAGAACAAAAACAAACACCAAATCAGGGAAGACAAGGGTTGTTTTTTCCCTTAACATTTCATGTAGATGGCTTCCTCTCTAAAGCTATACAGCACTTAGCTTTAAGTTGGGAGATTGAGAAGAAGTAGAGTGGCAAAATCGTTTTTACCAATTCCAAGTATTTTTTTGACCATTGTAATTTAATTTGATTTCCATAATTCCATTTTTTCGAAATTTGTTTTCAAAAAATTATTTGCTGCGCGGCATAATAAAACCCACCTAAAATTTGAAATTGTTTTGGATATCTTATTCTCTTTTGCCGATAATCGCATATAATAGTTGTGCCAGTTTTTGTTGGTGCTCTGCTCTGCTTCAAAATACGTAATCGATAAATTTTCCCTTTGGGATTTTGTTGTCGCTTTGGTCAGCTTTTTTTTTTAATTTACTTAAAAAAGAAACCAAACGTTTTTTATTTTTGTAATCTTCAATTCCAACAAATTCTTGGCTTGGTAGTAGTAAACTTTGTTGATTTTATCGTTTATTTTTTGTTGGTAATTCTTTGTTGACGGACTTGTTTGTTTAACACAACAGTAAGGGTAAAATTGCAGGAGGGAGAACTCGGCGCCGAAACGGATAGCTCTTGAAATTTCCTATCTTTTCAATAATTTGTTGTTGCTGCGGTATTTTCTCTTGTATTTTTTTGAAAATTTTGCAATTCTTTTCATTTTTTTCTCCTTGTAATAAAATATAACATTTGCTTTTATAGTAGATATTTATATTTCTTCTTCTTTTCGTTTGTTATGTATGTATTTATTTTTTTTTTGCTATATATTGTGCATTACTTTGTTGCTATATTTTATTTTTTATATATGTTTTTCTTAATATTCTTTTTTGTTAAGTACTCTCTCGCGCCGTCATGTTATGACTGCTTTAATAAAAATTTGTAAACTGAATAAATTGCCAACGATATTTGTTGAATTCTACCCTCACAGAGTAAACTGTTATACATGGCCGACTGGTTGTTGTTGGTGTTGTTATTGCTGTGTGTGTTATACACATTATGTTAAGTTGCTACGTTGCTATATCGTAGTACGTTCTCATTTTTTTAGATACCCGCTAGCAATGTGGACTAGTTCGGCACCGTATACTCGTCGATTCTTAGGGTTACAGTAACTAGTTCCACTTAAGACCCCTCACAGTGCAAACAACTGTAAACTTTAACATGGGGATGTCATACGAGGTAACCAATTGACTCCTTTTGCATTACCTGTAGATGGTACTGTACTAGTTCCAGGTTTACAGTCATATACCAGAGACAAAAGACTAATCCCTAACTATTCAAAGTGATTCTTGTTCGTAGAGATCTCATTCAAATGTTCGTTTAACTTGTCTGTTGGTTGGTTTTTTGGTGGTGGTTTTTTATTTATGCACAACTGTCGCCTCTTCGTTTACTTGGGGACGAAAAGGTGTCAATTGGTTCCATTCGCATTACTTGGGGACACATTTGGTACTAGTACGGCTTATAACTAGTACAAGACTGACGAAATTTAGTTAATTGGAATTTTCATTGCTAGCGGGTATTTCGTTGTTGTTGTTGTTTTTGTTGAATGCACTTTTTTTGTTATGCTCGCTCAGTAATTATTCAGGTCTTTGTTAGAAACCTCCCCATTTTGGCGTTGTCTCTGTTGTTGTTATTGTGTGGGCACAATGTTGATAACACAGATATGTTAATAAAAAACGCCAAAAATTTATGTTGACTAAGCTAAACTAGTAACCCAGTAAAGAAAGTCCAAAAGTCGGGCGGGGCCGACTTTATCATACCCTACTGCACCCCTTGCATATTTAGTAGAGCATCAAATAACAAACAAAAGTTTTATGGAGAATTTGTGAGAATTATAAAATCATACCGACTGTGATTATAGTTATAGTTTAAAGTCCAAAGAAATGTATAGATAGGAGGAATATCCTCCTCGGAGGTATTTGTGTCTTTTCAATTTGGGTTAATACAACCATTTGGTGCACAATTAACTTGAAATAGGGGATCTACAGGGTGAGATGAAAAAACTGCAACCAACTTCAGACTGCTGTCATTTCTAAGCCACACGTCCGAATGCTCTTAAAATTATTCCATTGACAGCTCATTATATTGTTTACAAGCGTACAAAAGCTTTTTGGTAAGAATTTTCTAGAAAAAACTTATTTGTGATGGAATTCAAGCATGATTTCTTTATATTTGGCTGAAATAGGGTTAATTTTGATGAATGTTCTACAAAAATGTAGAAATTCAGGATTTCAAATTATATCAAATTTTAGGAGGATTTCAGCTATGTCTCTTCAGTTAATACCAAATTCAGTAACATTTAGCACGCATATCCCAAAGAATCCTCACCTCTCCATCCTAGACCAAAATTAGTGATCCAAAATTTGTTCAAATTAGAACTTTCAAAACAATTATAGTACGCATTTACAAAACCACCGCCAGATCCCAACACTCGATACTAACAGAGACCTCAATATTAAATTTCAGGATTCGAGCTCTATACATTTGGTAATATTTAGTGACTTTAATATGAAGTTTCAGGATCTCAGCTCTTTAATTTCCGCCATTTCCAAATTTAGTACCATTTAGTACTTTTCGAACAATTCTAGTACACCACCTCCATATATCAATTCCAGATACCAACAGAGGCCTCAATATCAAAATTGACTATTCCAGCCCTACCCCTATACCCAATACAGAATTTAGTACCATTTAGCACTTTACTCATAAGTATAGGACACATTTTCGAACCACCGCCAAATATCAAACACAGATGCAATCAGTAACTACAAAATTTCAAAAGTTTTTCTCTATCCCTTCAACCAAGACCAAATATAGTACCATTCAGTACTTTTCGTACATATAAAGTACTTTTCGTACTTATAAAGTACTTTTCGTACTTATATAGTACATTCCGTAATTATATCATAGAACACATTTCCGTAACCACCTCCATATGTGCTGTCTACACAAGAACAGCGACCCTAATGCCAAATTTCAAAATTTAAGCACCATCTGTTCACCAAATACCAAATTATACTAAATATAGTACTATTTTGTGCTTTTCGTGCAACTGTAGTACACATTCCAAAAAAAAAAAAATCTTTTTATCACAAACCTATCACCAATAGGGGTCCCTATACTAAAACTTCGAAATGCCAGCTTCATCTGTTCACCCTAAACCAAACTGTTACAATTTTGGTACCATTTAGTACTTTTCGTACAAATATAGGACAGATTTCCAAAACGACCAATTTTATCTTCATCTCTACACCCAATAACAAATTTGGTAACATTTTGTACAAATATGGTACACATTTCCGAAACCACCACCATATGTCCAAGGCAACACATGAACAGCGACCCTATTACGAAATTTGAGATTTCAAGCACTATCTCTTCACCCAATACCAAATTGCACCAAATATATCACTATTTAGTAATTTTCGTGCACAGACCTTAAACCAACAGGAAATCCAACACAAAACTTTAAAAATTTCAGCTTCATCCGTTCACCCAAAACCAAACTGTTCCAAATTTAGTACTAATTAGTAATTTTCGTACATATTTCTAAAACAAATTTAAATTCTCAAGCCTACAACCATCATGGATTCCAATACCAAAATTTCGAAATTCTAGCGCCATCCGTTCACCCTAAACCAAACTGTTTCAAATTTAGTACCATTTAGTACAGTTCTTACACTTATTATACAATTCCAAAACCACCTTCATTTATCAAACTTCTTTGAATCTCTTACCATACTTCATGTTTTTAGCTGCATCATATACTCACACAATAGCAAAATGTACCATTTTCGAAGTTTAGTACCATTTTAGAGATTTTAGTAATCTTAGAGTTCGAATTGTCTAAAACCCTTTGGTACATCGATGCTGCACACCATCCGTGTCTATCATTTCAAATTTCATTCCGTTTGTCCAATACGAAGTATTCAACTTTTAGTACATTTTAGTACTCTTCGAACCCTATAAGTACGATTTTCAAAAAACCCAGCCTTATCACACGCCTACGCACCAAGACTGAACTTCAAGATTGTAGCTTAAGCCATTTTGGGTAGGCGTTGATTTTCAGTCAGTCAGTTATTTTACTACTCTTGTATATATATATATACATAAAATTTGTCTTCATAAAAAAAACTCCACTATTTGACATAGTCCCCATATAACGGCCCACCAGATTCAAAGTAGTCTGAAGGTTTCGGATTTCGTTTTCCAGCCAAATAAGCTGTAATTCAAACCCATCCTGCTTAGGATTTCCATTATGGATCCACTATTGCCATATACTGTTGCGATTTTATTCCATTCAGTTGACATTACTTTTTATCTCCTCACAACTGTGAAACGTCACATTCAGTTGGCTAGTTGTCTCCTCCATTGTAGCTGTCTTGGTGTTCTATCCATTGAAATTATTGTAGCGTAAATCTGTTTGTGCTTTGTAATCAAAACAAAATAAAAATTCTACTTTACGAAATAACAATTCGTTGGTTTCTCATCAAGAGCAATAGTCGCACTGTTACCAATGACAAAGAGAAGAGAGAGAGAGAGAGAGAGAGAGAGAGCTCAATTCATATTCTCTCATTATTTCAGCTACAATGTCTGATACTCTTCTGTCGGCAACGTGTATTGAAATGCCATTGGTTTGTTTTGTGCATTTCATCTGCGTTTCAACAATTTGGTAATTTCATTCAGTTGACAACCTGGCGAGGCGTATACGTACTATTTCTGATTATCTTATCCGTGGAAGAAATTTCATACAAGAAGGGTGCATTCTATTTAGGCTATAATAAATAATGTATATGCAATTGTGGATAATCTATAATAGTATAGTAAAGAGTAGTCCAATACTGCATGACTGACTGAGATGAAACGGCTGAAGCTAAAATCTTGAAATTTTGCAAGAAGGTCAGTTTTGGTGCGTAGACTGGGGAATTCGTTCTAAAAGGGTACGAGAAGTGCAACAAATTGAATATTTTTTATTGGACAATCGGAATGTCAAATTGGAAGGAAAATCACTGATGGAGTGCAGGATAGATGTACCAAAGGCTTTAAGATCACGACAACTTCTAAAATTTGTTATGAGAATCAAGGTTGGAAAGTACGCCTGAAGGTGGTTTTGGAAATGTGTACGAACTGTGTGCAAACTGTACTAAATGTTATGAAATTTGGAAGAGTTTGATTTAGGGTGAACGGATGAAGCTGGAATTTCGAAATTTTTTTATTGGGGTCCCTTTTTGCGGTAGGTTTGTGATAAAGTAGTGGTTTCGGAAAAGTATACCACAAGTGTACGAAAAGTACTAAATAGTACTATATTTGGTACAATTTGATATTGGGTGAACCGAGAGTGCTAGAATTCTGAAATTTGGTATTTGTTCATTTGTAGCCTGGACATTTGGAGGTGTTTTTGAGAATGTGTAATATAATTGTACGAAAAGTACTGAATGGTACTATATTTGGTATTGGGTGAATGGATAGAGATAAAATTCTAAAATTTGATATTGATGGTATCTGTGTTTGAGATTTGGCGGTGGTTTGGATATGCGTTCTATATTAGCACGAAAAGTACTAAATGGTACTACATTTGATATTGGGTGAAGGGATGGGGCTGGGATCCTCAAATTTGATATTGAGGTGTCTGGCATATAAATGTCACTGATCAAGATATGGAGGTGGTTTGGGAAATGTGTACGACAATTGTACGAAAAGTACTGAATGGTACTAAATCTGGTATTGGGTGAAGGAATAGAGACAAAATTCTCAAATTTGATATTTAGATTTGGTTTGGAAATGCATAATATAGTTATTCGAAAAGTACTAAATGCTACTAAATTTGGTATTGGATGAAGGGATTGAGCTGAAATTCCCAAATTTCATATTGAGGTCTCTGTTGGTA